CGAGAGCTTTGAGCAGAATCAAACTGAGACTGAGTTTCTGATGTGACGTGTTTCAAAGAGTTTAGCACAAGTTTAATCCAACAAGACTCAGATGTGTCTGTGCTCATGTGGAAGGAGAGAGACAGAGGAAGAGGAAGAGGAGATGAGAGAGAGACAGAGGAAGAGGAAGAGGAGATGAGAGAGAGACAGAGGAAGAGGAAGAGGAGATGAGAGAGAGACAGAGGAAGAGGAGATGAGAGAGAGACAGAGGAAGAGGAAGAGGAGAGAGAGAAGAGAGAGATGAGCGAGAGAGAGAGAGGAAGAGGAGATGAGAGAGAGAGAGGAGAGAGAGAGAAGAGGAAGAGGAAGAGGAGAGAGAGATGAGCGAGAGACAGAGGAAGAGGAAGAGGAGATGAGAGAGAGACAGAGGAAGAGGAAGAGGAGAGAGAGAGAGAGAAGAGGAAGAGGAGATGAGAGAGAGACAGAGGAAGAAGCAGAGAGAGGATGGAGAGAAAGATGGGATTGAGTCCCAGCGTGAGTGTCCCATGAGAGAAGGAGAGTGCTCTGCATGTGTCTGTGTCTTAATGTCAGTCCAGGTCAAATCAACAGGAAAACAATAAGAGCACAAAAAGACTGTCTTAAACCTGGTTAAATCCTAGTTAAATTCTGGTTAAATCCAGGTTTAGTCTTGGTTTATTCCTGGTTTAGTCGTAGGGCTAGACCTGGTTTAGATCTAGTTTAGGCCTGGTTAAATCCTGGTTTAGACCTGATTTAAACCTGCTTTAGACCTAGTTTAGACCCAGGTAAATCCTGGTTGAGTTCTGGTTTAGACCTGCTTAAAATTTGGTTTTATCCTGGTTTAGACTTGGTTAAATTCTGGTTTAATTCTGGTTTAGTCTTGGAAGTAGAACTTGTTTAGTCCTGGTTAAATCCTGGTTTAGTTTTGGTTTAGACCTGGTTAAATCCTGGTTTAGTCCTGGGGTAGACCTGCTTTAGACCCAGTTTACTCTTGGTTAAATCCTGATTTAGTCTTGGTTTAGTTCTGGTTTAGACCTGCTTAAATTCTAATTTAATCCTGGTTTAGTCCCAGAAGTAGCCCTAGTTTAGTCCTTGTTTAGATCTGGTTAAAACCTGGATTAATCTTGGTTTAGACCTGGTTTAGATCTGGTTTGTCCTGCTTTGGTTGATCCTTTGTGCTTTTGCCATCCTTCTGCTCTCTTCCCTCCATTCTTTCTTTTGTTCCCACCTTCTATCTGTCTCTCTCTTTCCCTCTGTTCTGGTTTCTCTCTTCCCTCCTTTTCCTCTCCTCTTTCTCTCTCTCCATCCTGTTCTCTCTTCTCAGATGCAGCTCTACTTTACCTGCTCATTGTGATTTTGAAGACATGAACATGTGAGAGTGCAGACACAGCAGTACCTCCTGTTAGAATGCTGCTGTGTGAGCTCTGGGCCTTGGGGCTGTTACATAAACTCATGTGGGCCACACTCGCACTAAAAATGATCCTGACCTCAATCTGAATCTGAACGCACACACACGTTTACAGGAGCTTCTAGTGCTTTCCAGAGTGTACACGTCTCACTACTGATACTTTCACATCACGCTGGGGGGTTCCACATGTGTGTGTATGGTGTAATGTTCAGCAGTTACCATAGAGACACAATGTACACAAGCAAAACTATCAAATACGTTTTAAAATAGTCTGAAAATAAAATACAAAATCAACTGAAACACTGGTTTAGTTCTGGTTTACACCTGGTTTAGACCAGTGGTAGAGCAGTAGTATTGCAGTAGTATTGCAGTAGTAGCAAGTATTACTAATAGTTGTTCAAATACATTAGTCTGTGAAGTCGTGGGACGTGTAAACACACTGAACCTGTTTCAATTGTAGAAAAACAGGAGCAGTTGTTTTGTTTTTTGTTTTCAAGATAAAATTAGACTGAAGCTCCAAAAGGTGTTTATGGAAGAGAGGGGGAGGAGCAGAGGGTCAGAGGAGGAGAGGGTCAGAGGAGGAAAGGGGTCAGAGGAGTCAGAGGAGGCGAGGGTCAGAGGAGCAGAGGGTCAGAGGAGGAGAGGGTCAGAGGAGGAGAGGGTCAGAGGAGGAGAGGGTCAGAGGAGAGAGGGTCAGAGCAGAGGGTCAGAGAGCAGAGGGTCAGAGGAGCAGAGGGTCAGAGGAGGACAGAGGTCAGAGGAGCAGAGGTCAGAGAGGAGAGGGTCAGAGGAGCAGAGGGTCAGAGGAGCAGAGGGTCAGAGAGCAGAGGGTCAGATGAGCAGAGGGTCAGAGGAGCAGAGGGTCAGAGGAGACAGGGTCAGAGGAGCAGAGGGTCAGAGGAGGACAGAGGTCAGAGGAGCAGAGGGTCAGAGGAGGAGAGGGTCAGAGGAGCAGAGGAGGAGGAGGGTTCAGAGGAGCAGTAGGGTCAGAGAGCAGAGGGTCAGAGGAGCAGAGGGTCAGAGGAGAGAGGGTCAGAGGAGCAGAGGGTCAGAGGAGAGGGTCAGAGGAGCAGAGGGTCAGAGGAGTCAGAGGAGCAGAGGTCAGAGGAGCAGAGGGTCAGAGGAGCAGAGGGTCAGAGGAGCAGAGGGTCAGAGGAGAGAGGGTCAGAGGAGGCAGAGGGTCAGAGGAGGAGAGGGTCAGAGGAGCAGAGGGTCAGAGGAGGAGAGGGTCAGAGGAGCAGAGGGTCAGAGGAGGACAGAGGTCAGAGGGTCAGAGGAGGAGAGGTCAGAGGTCAGAGGGTCAGAGGGTCAGAGGAGCAGAGGGTCAGAGGAGGAGAGGGTCAGAGGAGCAGAGGGTCAGAGGAGGAGAGGGTCAGAGGAGCAGAGGGTCAGAGGAGCAGAGGGTCAGAGGAGCAGTAGGGTCAGAGGAGAGAGGGTCAGAGGAGCAGAGGGTCAGAGGAGCAGAGGGTCAGAGGAGCAGAGGGTCAGAGGAGGAGAGGGTCAGAGGGAGTTGGTGGTTTAATGAATGCAGATGTTCAAAGTGAAGATGAAGAATGTCCCTGCAGAGCTCCTGTAGCAGAGGAAAACCCAGAGGACACAGGAAAGAACAGAACTGCACTTTTCAAAGCGCAGTAACATCAGATACTGCAGTATTGTGTATTTGTACTAGAATATGCAGTATTTCTCGACAGTAAAACAGCCTTGGATATATTAAAAAAGCACTACATAATAATATATACATAATATTCCACAGTATGGCATTATACTTACTTATAACAATGGAAACAAACAAGTGACACCACCAGGCATGTTCCAGGTCAGATCTGTGGAGAGGCGACCCTGCTTACAGTAAGGATGCATTTATTTTTAGCAACTGAATAGGTGCAATTTAGATCTGCTTAATGCCATAATGTGGAATATTTCAGGCAAAGCAGCAACCTCTCCACGGAGACAAGCAGGGGGTGTGTCCTTCACCAGAAAAGTTACATATTATAGCTTTTAGTGTAGCTTTTCATAATTAGACTTACACTTAGAGGTTTTATTGTTCTGAAAGTTTTGTATTCACTCAAAGCAACAGGTTTTTTTGCTCTGAGTCTCCCCTCCCTTTGCTCTCTATACTAATTCACTCCCCCTTCAGAGCACTATCACAGCACAGTCAGCGTGTAACCTTCTAATGAATCTACTGCACATCACATCAGCTTTGTGAAGTTGCTGTGTACAGTTTTGTATTATGTTTTTGGTGTATTTATGGACAATTGTCGTGTTGGAGCAGAATCCTACATCTAACTTTAAGGAGGGTTTGAATATAGGGCCCACGGGGGATCGCTACATTAAGCCGGACGTACACTGTGCGATTTTTGACCCTTTTTAAGCCGATTTTTCACTCATGCAACTGTTTTGGGGATCGGGCCGAGTTTTGGCTTCATCGTGTGTCGTGCTTCTTGTAGTAAACATGGGGTAAAGAAAACCGATTTATACCTCATGACCAGCTCCAGATCGGCATTTGTAGGTCACAAGAAAATCAAACCTGTCTGAAATCCAGTCGCCTCTCGTGAGGGTTTCACTCTGTTGAAGTCGTTCCACGAGCTGATTTGCCAGAATCTGTCAGACTGAACATGTGCAGACACAGAAGCGGAAGCAGGATATGAGGTTGTGGAGGACGGTGGCGCCGGCGAGTGTTTTGGACACAGGACATGGAGGCGCAGCTAATCGAGCAACACAGAACAGAAATTTGGTGAAAAACTTGATGCTACTTACCTCCAGTTGACTACTTTGCTTCATAAAACATGAAAAACAGAACTAGTTCATTTAAAACAGTTTGCAGTGGTCCAAAGTTATTCCTCACTTTCCCATCATGCATAAGGTGACCAGACGTCCCTATTTTTATCCGGGACAGTCCCAGTTTTGAGCCTATGTCCCCGTCCCAGCAGATTTATACAAAACCAGTGATTTGTCCCAGTTTTATACAAGAAATGTCCCAGGTGTCTCTATTTTTGACCAATTTTTGACTATTTTTAACACCTGCAAACCGTAAAGAGAGGCATACATTGTCATTTGTTTAGGTAAAATACAGAAAAGCTGCTTAAAAATGACTAAAACACAAAGAAAACGTGACTATACTGACGTACATGTTAGTCATGAATCTCTGCTGAACAGTTTTCTTAAATTATACACTAGTTTCACAGTTTTATTATTACCAAACACCACAAAAGTGGGACTGTCCCATTTTTAATTTTTTTTATTCTGGCTACCCTCCTTATGTACACAGCAAAAAGTGGAGTGTTAAAATTGACTCTCACAGAGTTAATTTTAACATTTTCTCAGAGTCTGTATGAGTCCAATCTGTTCTAGAGTTAATTTAACACTTTTGGAAATGTTAATTAAGTAAGACCAAAGTTCCTGTTTAACCCCAAAATCAAGAGTTAAATTAACATTTTGAGAGTAAAGGGTTAACACTTTGTAGAGTTATCCTGCTTTAGCTAAACAACACACAGAGGTGTTTTATTTTTACACTTAATTTGAGTTAATTTAACATCTTGGAGAGTTGTAACTACACACTGTGAAGTCTAAATGAAGGTACACTGTAAAAAACACATTCAGTCCATGTAAAGCCTTTATTTTCTTTAAAACACTGTAAAAGATGAAATGATGTATAAATCATTATGTGAAGACTCTTGGCATCAGCGTCCAGCTGCTGTTGGACCTGAACAGTCCTCTGATGTGTTGGGCTCCTTGACTTCAGTCAACATGTCTGTCCGGTGGCTGTGAAGTCACTTGCCTTTGGACCGTCTTCAGTCTTGAGATGTACCTGATCCACCCACAGCATCATAGAGGTGCTCCTAAAAGTAAAAAGGATGCCATACAACTTAATGTTGAATGTTAACACAATTTACATTGCTTAGAAAGCAAAATAATTCTTACATCGCCTTTCTTGGCATATGGATCTTTGAGAGAAGGAAACACCATCACAATCCCAGGGGCAGACTGTTCCCGGTGACTTAGAGGGGAAGTTACTGAAACAGGAAGTCAACTTATTAGAGATGTTAAGAATCATTTATAAAATTCTGTGAACAAACATAGAAACATACTCATGGTGCTGAATCATGTGAGAAACCAGTTTATTAACCAACTTCCTTCTTGTAGTGTGACTTAGGGTTTCTGTTGTTTGTTGTTCCTTTAGCATTTCTTCACCACCAGCTTTTTCTTTTAAAGCTGCTTCTATTATCTGTCAAAAAGAGAAACATATGTTACCAAGAGCTACAACATACAACAAACACCAGACAGACACACACCAGTTTAGCGAATAAAAAACAATTTAAAAGCTTAATAAATATATGCAGGATAGAATACTGTCCTTGACATAAGCAAAGAGCTAAAAGACCCTGGGTTATAGTTACGTCTGCTAGCAATTTCTTTGATAAAGAATTCAACCTATACAGTTATAATTGTAATTGTAATTAGTGAAGAAAATAAAAATATTGTCTATATACTTTAAATCAAATTGCACTTACCAAAAAGAGCTGCATGTAAAAGTGAAAAATCCACTGTGTATGTCTGGTTCAAACTGGTTCAAACTGGTTCAAACTGGTTCAAACTGGACTTCTGTGGTTGGAATTTGAAGTGGTGGGTGGGCGGTGCCGAGTTAACACCTCGGGGAAATTGAAATAACACTAGCAGAAGTTGAATTAACACTAGGGGAAGTTTAATTAACTTCAACCATATCAACTCTGGCAAATAACCCCAACTCTAACTCCCATTTAACTTTCAGATAGTTAAAATAACACTTCCTGTGTTAAAAACAACTCTGAAATATTTTACCCTGAAATGTTAACTCTCCAGTTTTTGCTGTGTATGTCGGAGCATCCTACCTACTCACCACAATGAGTTTATGAGCACTTCAACACTCTCAGACACCAGAGTTTTGTCATGACTGTAAAGCAAACAAAACTAGTGCATGCATGCTAACCACACACTCCCTGATTCTCTAGAGTAAAACTGTTTATATTCAGATGCAGACAGTACACACAGGACTTATATAATATACTGTATCTGTGCTGCGGTGAGACACACTGAGCACAAATACATGACACTACATCTTGTACAGAGCCTTGAAGTACTTACTAAACCTGAATCAGTCTTAAGACATAAATGATTTTTTCATTATTTAAAAGGTGCATTATGTAACTTTTTGGTTGGGGTCTGTCACCTTCTTGTTTTACGTTCCACAGTGTGACATTAAACTGCTCTATTTTACATTTATTCAATTACAGGTGTTTTTTTTTTTTTCTTTTTAGCTAAAAAAATATGTAGAAAAACAAACATTCTGACTGTGAGTGGGGTCGACTCTCCACAGATCTGACCTGTAACTTGGTCTGGTTAGATGATGATAGACAGTGTTGAGGAGTAACAGAGTGGTTAATTGGATTACAGTTACTTTGTTAAAATAAAAGGATTACATGGTGGTATTTTCTCGTTTTCAAATTTTGGGCTATATCATCCCACCCAGGTCTAAACCAGGACTAAACTAGGACTAAACTGGGACTAAACTAGGACTAAACCAGCTCTAATCCAGGTCTAAACCAGGTCTAAACCAGTCTAAACCAGGTCTAAACCAGGTCTAAACCAGGACTAAACCAGGTTTTAACAGGTCTAAACCAGGTCTAAACCAGGACTAAACCAGGACTAAACCAGGTTTTAACAGGTCTAAACCAGGACTAAACCAGGTTTTAACAGGTCTAAATCCTGCTTTGTAGACGTGTCTCTTCGTTTTCTATCAATAATATTTTTAATTTGGTTCAGTAAAGTCTGGGCTTTTTATTTTCTTTTATCAGACAAAACATCTTATGTGAAGATTCCCTTGTTATTGCTTTTCTACAGCAAATCAAGTAATCCAAAGTAATCAGATTACATTACTCACTTTAAGTAATTTAACATATTCCGTTACAAACTATATTTTGGTGTATGTAATCTGTAATCTGTAGGGGATTACATTTTAAAAGTCACCTTCCCAACACTGATGATAGAAAGGATTCTGCCAAAAACTACATCTGGCCAAGTTAAGATGACTTGAATTAAGAAAGTTTTATCATGCTTTGAGTAAATTTCACTTAAGTAAAAAGATCTACCAAAAGATCAAGACTTTTTGTACTTAAAATATGAAAATACATCTAGCTACACTTTTTTTTTTAAATTTACACTTAAAATAAGAAACAAAATGTAAAATAAGAAACAAAATGTAATGTTTCTTCAATTGAGAAAAACACACTTATTATTCCACTGGTTTACACGTCAAGTTGAATCGACTCAAATAAAAGTCAAATGTTCTTGATTTAAGTCATTTTAATTTGACTAGATATCATTTGTTTTGTTTTGTTTTTTTCAGACAAAGCAATAACATCTTTATGGAGAAAAGCGTTTGAAGGACCCTCCACTAGAAAAGTTACACCATCCATCTTTAATTCTCGTGCTTAATAAGACTAATTAAGCTGTTTATATAAAGTTGTACCGACATTTCTCGAGTACGTAAAATGTGACCCAAATAATCAAGTAGAAGTTAAATAAAATGTGAACTTCAGTACTGAGGAAGTCTAAATCTCGACGTCTCTTCTCCAAACCTACATCTGCTCCCGTCTTATTTACCCAGGCGTTTTCGGGGAGAGGGGGCAGACGGAGCACCTGTGCCCGAGGAGGGGGCTCTGTTTGGGGGGTGAGGAGTGAGCGACCCCCCCTCGTCCCATCTGTGCTCTGGATCAGTGATCTGTCACACTGAAACGGCTTTACACTGAAGCAGGGTTCAACAGGAAAACTCACTCTGCAACTACTATGAATAAAAAAAAAAAAAAAAACACAAACTGGCCTGGAAAGCAGATTTTTTAGTTTTATTTTTTAATATGTGACTGCAATTAAAAGTTTATTTCATTTAAGTTCATTTAAGGTCCTTATATTACACAAAGCTGATGGAGTAAGAAGCTTTCAGAAATATTCACGTCCATAGGATAGAAACCCATGCATATTTGTCTGTAGTTGAGCATAAAACAAATATTTGTAAACTGTCAAATTAATCCTGTCATACATAAAATGTGTTGTGTGTATTTTATCCATCAGAATAAACACTGAAAAGTTACAACTTCAAGAATTACAATCACAAAATGAAAATGTAGGATTACACCTTCTTCAGTACAAATACAAATCTCAACAACATCACTTCACAGACAGAAGAAACATCGACCGAGATACCGGACTTTTGCACCACATACAGACTAAACTAGGATTAAAACAGGACTAAATCAAGACTGAATCAGAACTGGACCAGGATTAAACCAGGACTTAACCATGTCTACAATCATGTCTAAACCAGGACTAAACCAGGACTCAACCTGGATTAAAACAGAACTGAACCAGGACTCAACCTGGATTAAAACAGAACTGAACCAGGACTGATCCCAGTACAAAACCAGGACAAAACCAAGATTAAACCAGGACTGAACCAAAACTAAACTAAGACTAAACCAGGACTGAACCAGAAATAAACCAGGATTAACCAGGTCTAAACCAGGTCTAAACTCGGACTAAAGCAGGACTAAACAAGATCTAAACCAAGACTAAACCAGGTCTAAACCAGGTCTAAATCAAAACTGAACCAGGACTAAACCAGGACTACAGCATTCGAGAGTTTATCTATATTAATTTTATGCTCAGTTACAAACAAATATGCACAGATTTCTATTCTCTGCACATGAATATTTCTGAAAGCTTTCGTAGTCCATACTTGTGAGCTTTAAAACATGTTCTAATGCTGTTACCTCCTCAAAAACAACCTTGGAGTTGTGTTTTGTTTCATTCACACGTTTGAGTAACACTTTATTATCCATCTGTCTAGTGTTGTGAGTGTTTTCAGTTTCAGCCTTAAACTAAATCATCTAAAAGTGCAGGGTTTGTGTGAATGAAACAAAACACAACTCCAGGTCTGTTTGTGACAAGGAAACATTAGAAGAGATCAGAAAATGTCTTAATCTGGCCCCGTTCAGGAGGGGCTGGTCCGATGTTCTGGTCTAAATAGATACTGGGAAGTGCGCTGGTTGAAGTTCAGCCACGAGCCTGAGCACATTTAAATGAGAACAGTGATCATCCCCGTGTGCGTCTCAGAGAATGTTTCCTTTATTCTCAATGAGCAAAGATCAAGTCAAAGATCAGAACCACAGAGAAGGTTCTTGGAGAGCTCCAGGGTGGAATCTCTCTGGAGTCTAACCCTGCATCATCAGGATAAACTGAATGATCCTATTGAGACTTTGCACTGACATCACCGCGGGAGGTTCTGCGTGTGTGTTTATGGTGGAATGTTCAGCTGTTACCGTGGCGACACAATGTGCACATGAGCAAACACGGCCGAAAGGTTTTAAGATGTTTGAAAACTCAAGAAGAAATAGAAAATGGATTTAGACAGAACTAACCCAGGACTAACCCAGAACTAACCCAGGACTAACCCAGGACTAACCCAGGACTAACCCAGAACTAACCCAGGACTAACAGGACCCAGAACTAACCCAGGACTAACCCAGAACTAACCCAGGACTAACAGAGGACTAACCCAGGACTAACCCAGAACTAACCCAGGACTAACCCAGGACTAACCCAGAAGGACTAACCCAGACTAACCCAGGACTAACCCAGAACTAACCCAGAACTAACCCAGAACTAACCCAGGACTAACCCAGGACTAACCCAGAACTAACCCAGGACTAACAGAGGACTAACCCAGAACTAACCCAGGACTAACAGAGGACTAACCCAGAACTAACCCAGGACTAACCCAGAACTAACCCAGGACTAACCCAGAACTAACCCAGAGGACTAACCCAGAACTAACCCAGGACTAACAGACTAACCCAGGACTAACCCAGAACTAACCCAGAACTAACCCAGGACTAACCCAGAACTAACCCAGGACTAACCCAGGACTAACCCAGAACTAACCCAGGACTAACAGAGGACTAACCCAGAACTAACCCAGAACTAACCCAGAACTAACCCAGGACTAACCCAGACTAACTAGACTAACCAGTAACCCAGAACTAACCCAGGACTAACCCAGGACTAACCAGAACTAACCCAGGAACTAACCAGAACTAACCCAGGACTAACAGAAGGACTAACCCAGAACTAACCCAGAACTAACCCAGAGACTAACCCAGAAACTAACCCAGGACTAACAGAGGACTAACCCAGAAACTAACCCAGGTCTAACTAGAACTAACCAAGAACTAACCCAGGTCTAACAGAACTAACAAGAACTAACCCAGGGACTAACCCAGGACTAACCCAGAACTAACCCAGGACTAACTCAGAACTAACCCAGAACTAACACAGGACTAACCCAGAACTAACCCAGGTCTAACTCAGAACTAACCAAGAACTAACCCAGGTCTAACCCAGAACTAACCAAGAACTAACCCAGGAACTAACCCAGAACTAACCCAGGACTAACCCAGAACTAACCAAGAACTAACCCAGGACTAACCCAGAACTAACCCAGAACTAACCCAGAACTAACCCAGGACTAACCCAGAACTAACCCAGACTAACCCAGGACTAACCCAGAACTAACCCAGGACTAACC